GAAAAAAACTTCTGCCCTGATGAAGTGTGCATTCTAGTAAAGGCAGTATACAATAAACATATAAAGAAATAAAGTATAATGTGAGCAGAAAGCGGTGCAATTTTAAATGCAGTGGTCAAATAAAGCCTCACTGTGAAAGTTACATTGAACAAAAACCTTAAGTATGTGAAGGAGTGGGTGACAAGAATATGACTATGGGGAAGGGCTTTTCCTGCAAATCAAAAAGCAAGAACATTTTTCAATTCCAGGAGCCTCTTGGTTGAATCCTTAGGGTTTTCTAGATATAATATTATATCATCAGCAAATAGTGAGAGTTTGATCTCTTCTGTTCCACATATTTGTATGCCTTTAATCCCACTCTCTTGCCTGATTGCTGTGTCCAGGACTTCCAACACCATGTTGAATAGAAGTGGAGATAGTGGGCAACCTTGTCTGGTTCCAGTTCTAAGTGGGAATGCTTTCAATTTTTCCCCATTCACTACGATGTTGGCTGTGGGTTTGTCATAAATGGCTTGTATCATTTTTAGGTAAGCCCCCCATCTATGCCTATTTTGTTAAGCATTCTTATCATAAAAGGGTGTTGAATTTTGTCAAATGCTTTTTCTGCGTCTATTGAGAGAATCATATGGTTTTTGTTTTTGCTTCTGTTTATGAGGTGAATTACATTTATAGATTTGCGTATGTTGAACCATCCCTGCATCTCTGGGATGAAGCCCACTTGGTCATGATGGATTATTTTCTTAATAAGCACCTGGATTCAGTTAGCTAGAATTTTCTTGAGAATTTTTGCATCTATATTCATAAGGGATATTGGTCTGTAGTTTTCCTTTTCTGTTGCGTCCTTTCCTGGTTTTACTATCAGGGTTATGTTGGCTTCATAAAATGTGTTGGAGAGGATTCCATCCTTCTCAATGTTGTGGAATAATTTCTGCAGGATAGGCACCAGTTCTTCTTTGTAGGTGTGGTAAAATTCGGGTGTGAAACCATCTGGTCCGGGACTTTTCTTTTTTGGAATGTTTTTTATTGCTGTTTCAATTTCAGTCCTTGATATTGGTCTGTTCAGGAATTCAACTTCTTCCTGGTTGAGCCTAGGGAGGCTGTGTGTTTGTAAAAATTTGTCCATTTCCTCCATATTTTCCAGTTTGTGTGCATAAAGGTTTTTGTAATATTCATAAATTATACCTTGAATCTCCATGGCATCTGTTGTAACTTCTCCTTTTTGGTTCCTGATGGAGCTTATTAGAGATTTTTCTTTTCTGTTTTTTGTAAGTTTAGCCAAAGACGTGTCAATTTTGTTTATTTTTTCAAAGAACCAACTTTTTGTTTTATTAATCTTCCATATAGTTTCCTTGTTGCCAATTTCATTAAGTTCTGATTTGATCTTATTAATTTCCCTTCTTCTGCTGGGTTTGGGGTTGGTCTGTTCTTCTTTTTCCAGTTCTTTTAGTCGATTCATTAGGTTGTCTATTTGTGATCTTTTAGATTTTTGGATATAGGCATTTATGGAGATAAAGTTTCCTCTCAGGACTGCTTTGGCTGTATCCCACAGATTTTGGCAACTTGTGTCACCTTTGTCATTTAGTTCAAAGAATCTTTTGATTTCCATCTTTATTTTCTCATTTCTGAAGAAATCGTTCAGCAAAAGGTTGTTTAATTTCCATGACTTTGTGTAGAGATGAGTTTCTGTTTGGGTTGATTTCTATTTTTATTCCACTGTGATCTGAGGCTCCTGGAATTGATAAATGAATTCAGTAAAGTCTCAGGATATAAAATCAATACACACAAATCAGAGGCTTTCATATACGTCAATAGCAGTCATATTGAGAACCAAATCAAAGATTCAATTCCCTTCACAATTGCAACAAAGAAAAAAAAACACCTAGGAATATATTTAACTAAGGATGTAAAAGACCTCTTCAGGGAGAACTATGAAACATTGAGGAAGGAAATAGCAGAAGACGTAAACAGGTGGAAAACCATACATGCTCGTGGGTCAGTAGAATCAACATTGTTAAAATGTCTATACTACCCAAAGTGATCTACAGATTCAATGCAATCCCTATTAAAATACCAACATCATTCTTCACACATGTAGAAATATTAATTTTACGCCTCGTATGGAACCAGAGAAGACCTCGCATAGCAAAAATAATTCTAAGCAATAAAAACAAAATGGGAGGTATCAATTTACCAGACTTCAAACTTTATTATAGGGCTGTAATAATCAAATCAGCTTGATACTGGCACAAAAATAGAGCCATTGACCAGTGGGACAGAACTGAGAACCCAGATATAAAACCATCCTCATATTGCCATCTAATCTTTGACAAAGCAGACAAAAACATACACTGGGGAAAAGATTCCTTATTCAATAAATGGTGCTGGGAAAACTGGATAGCCACATGTAGAAGACTGAAGCAGGATCCACACCTTTCACCTCTCACAAAAATCAACTCACGCTGGAACACAAATTTAAACCTAAGGAGTGAAACTATTAGAACTCTAGAG